CCCCCCCCCCCCCGAATCCCCCCTGACACTGCTCCCCCCCAACTTACCAACGCCTGCCATCTCCTCCACATGAATGACAAGGCTCCTGAAAACTGTGTCCTTCTCTGTGCACTGTTCTACGGCCATCTCCACCACACGCGGTACATCTCACCCGCCCCGAGCCATGGCATCTAGAACAGGTTACCCATCCACGGTGCTTACAGCGAAAGCAGGGCTGGCAAAAAATTAAACATTTTGTAATACACATTTTAATTAGGTCTTGTTTTCTATAATTGAGATCTGAAATAAAATGAGTGACTGATGAAAAAATAAATATCACATTAAATATAATGAAAATTTGTCCTTATTTTCTTTAATTATGATCTTTTATAAGGGGAGTGACTGAATGGATGATGAAAAAAATAAACACTATACATGATTGCTCCTGTTTTTCATAATCATGATCCATGATGACAGAAATAAAAGTTAACTCTTTGTTGGATAACATCAATAAAAGTTGTAATAATGCTGTATATATATTGCATTGCTTCATATTAACATCTAATGTGTCAAAGTCTTAGTCTTCAATTCTCATTTCAAACTATCTTTATTATTTTCATCATTTACCATATTAATTTAACAAATGAAAATGGAATTGATCATTGTTTTAAATTGCTTATTGTCATACAAGTACACCAACTGTTTCTTATTAATTAAAAAAAATCAACATTTAATCAATGTTTTCCTAACAATGAACAATGTGCTGATCAATATGAATAATAAAAATTCTTCAAATCATACTGATTGTATTAAGGCCACACTTATTTAATTTTATGGCTGACATCCTGCGCGCGCACCGATTTTCGCCCGTTATCCGAAAAAAAAAAAAAAAANGATTTGGTAGTATTAAGCATATCTTTGCATCATTTTTTTAAACATTTCTGTGAAGTGTTCAAAATGCTTTAATATTCTGAGAATACGAATAAAGACACACTGTTTGTTTGATATTTGTTTTATTGATTGCTATACCAACAAAATGCATGAAATAACCTTAATAGATTTTGTAATAAAAAGTATATCTATTCATGACTTTTTTTGTACATTTCTACGAAGTATTCACAATGCTTTAATATTTTGAGAGCATGGATAAAGACATATTGTTAGTTTGATACGTGTTTCTGTGGTAAAATTTGTGTTTCCAGCTGTGTACTGACAGCATTCCTTTACTTAAGCAGTATTTTTTTTTTGGACCGTTTTTTTTTTTTCGCCCTCTCGCACCGATTTTGGGGTACCCAGAGGATGTCATCCATAAAAATAAAAAAGTGTGGCCTAATTTAAAAAAAAAGACAATGTAACACCTCCTACTTACAATAATATCTGAGGTATGCGGTACTTTCAGATGCTTGGTGTGTGTGTTGAACATGCCATCAGGTTCACAGGGTACCTGCCAAGGCATGGGAGGCTGGCCGTAATGAGGCCCATCTATATGTTGACCCCTGAATGGTTCGAAGGCATGGAAGGTCTCACGGCCCTCTGTGAAGGTGTTTAAGGTGTACTGGGGAGAAAATATGAATAATGAGTTACTATTTTTTCAAGACTTTTTAAACATCTATGTGGCTGGTATAAAAAAGATTCATACATTGGCAAATGAAAAAGGCCTTTATTAAAATTTTGAAAAACAGCAATTAGTGTGTGTGTGTGTGTGTGTGTGTGTGTGCTGATTTTTAAATTAAATCCAAGTGAGTAATATCACTACAGAGTGTCTCCAATACAACATTCTACAAATCCTAAGATCTCACTGCATAGGTATAGAATGTCTAGCTCCCCATTCTTGGTAGTGGGGATGTGTCATATGATACCAACAGGTGTGGTAGCTAAATACTAATTTTAAGATATTTTCTTTTTTGGTTTTTATACAATTTTACTCACATGCAGAGCAGCTGAGGGGGATATCTTGGTGATCACCATTTCTTTTGCAGGAGCACTGCCATAACAGCAATGCTCAGCGACAAAATTAAGCATGGCGTCCCTTGCTTGCTCCTCACTGATCATAGCAGCTCTGAAATGATTTATAAAGCATATTTATAGTCAATGCCAGTCTCTTATCTAATGTTTTTCTTCAATAACACAGTTCTAGTCAACAATCTTAATTAATGTTTTTGAACCCCGACTTTGATATCCTATTTTTTTCTCAAATCATTTTGAGTCAAACAGGCTTGATTGTCTAATTTACACCTCTCTTTTATATTCCTGGAACTGTTATCAAATCAACCAAAATGATTCAGTAAAAAACAAGTCTTATGCTGGATCTTTCTTATATTTATATATGTGTCAACTCAAAACTTAATTCTTTGAACCTTCATGTAAAATCTACAAAATGAAAATCTGATAATGACCAAACTGAGCTACTATTAACAACTAAATTTAAACTTTCTAAGAAACAGTGTCTATATCTACATCTCTATATATCATTTAATTAAAGGGTTGGGGCTCGGCAACAACAAAATTATTTAAATATAATATAATATAATATAATATAATATAAAGTTTACTGGCTGAAGTTCATTGCGGGAGGCTCTCCTTGAGGTGGATACGGCAGAGGAGCTGGAGGAGGAAGGGCTAGTGGGTTAGCTGGAAAAACAATTAAAATGGAAAAAATTTATTTAAAGAGTTAAATTGTTTCAAAGTCAAGCATTAAGCTGAATTCGAAACATTAAGTTATTCTGATACAAAAGAAGGGCTTCATTTTTAAGTAAATGGTTAAGTGATGTTCACCTCTGAAAATACTGTTTGAATAATTATCAATATAAGAACCTGCTCCTTGTCAATATACATGTCTATAAGTACCAATAGTCATATGAAAATCATATTAATATTTTTACTTTGTATTTAACCAATCCAAATAAGAAAGCCAAACTATTCAAATACAATAAAGAGAACTATGTATATAACTATCTAACTTTTAGAGGAAAAGTCAGAAAGAAAGCGTAAAAAAAAAATTAAAAGAGTTATGGAAAAAGGAAATTAAAGATCACAAAAAACAAAACAAGTCTTACTTTCATTCCCAACATTTGAGTAGAACTCAAACTGATTAGTTGGTACTGGGGGAGCTGGACCTGGTCTCTCATCGTCATCACTGTCATCAGGTGTGAATGGGCCTCCCTGTCCAGCCTGCCATTCTGAAAAGATAAAATTTATACATGTACATAAATATTTTACCAAAAAATATGATTTAGATAAATGGAAGTTTTGGGTAGGTGAATGGGCATGAACATACAATTTTTTTTAAATGCTTCAAGCTTAACATAGATATAAAGATTTTTAAAATGCTTCACGATTGACAGACATGATATTGAATAAAAGAAACAGCCAAACATTTCACATTTGAGTCAATTAATGAACAGAGGTGTGCAAAAAGTCACTTAATTTCCTTTTGGAGACTAAATTTTTCTACAGTAGTAAGTTTTTCATACCAACTAAATTGGACAAGCTTAGGTGTAGAGAACAGAACAAAAAAAATGATGTTAAAAAACTGGAACAGAGACAAAAAACAGAAACAAAAACAGAAATAAAAATAAAATGCACATAATATTTTTTCAGGTTAATAACTTACGTGTTGGAGCTGGCTGACCAGGTGCTCCAGGAACTTGTCCCTGGGGTGGAAATCCTTGCTGTGGAGGCATTCCCTGCCCTGGGGGTGGACCCCCATATCCTTGACCAGGGGGTGGACCCCCATATCCTTGACCTGGGGGTGGACCCCCATATCCCTGCCCTGGGGGTGGACCCCCATATCCTTGCCCAGGGGGTGGACCCCCATATCCTTGCTGTTGTTGTTCTATGGAAAAAAAGTAACATCTCTGTTAAAACCACTTTAAAGATTTTTCTGTTAATGTTATAATTAATATTCTCATAAGTTCTCCCATTCTAGGTGTTTCAGGTGGTCACAATATGTTATGGAGTAATTTATATTGGTTCCAAGACTTGTTCGAATACTCCAAACGCCCCCCCCCCCATGTAACCCCTGCCACATGCATGCACTGCTTGTGACGGAAAACCCTAATTTGGTGGAAATCAGAGGTAATCAGCCTGTCACCATAATGGACAACTAATCTTACTGTGATGCCCTTGATAGAACCATAGAAGTAATAGTATAACCACGATATACTTCCATTATAAAACATGCAGTCTCAACAAATGAAAGCTCACATAGACCACTGGTGTAGAAGGTCGGCGTACTGTACTGGTAGAGCTTGCCAACATATGTTTATTGTCCAGTAGGTGTACTTAAGTTTATCAGCACCATGCTAAAACACCTTTACTACATTATCCTCTGGCAAGATCTCTTCAAAGATTGAGGTGACTGCCGACCTGGGTCTTATATGTACTCTTAGCAACAGAGGTAAAAAATATTGTGCTTACCTTGATACATTTTGGTTCAACTTTAATTTCTTTTCTGAAAGAAAATAATATTCAATCTACAGCTTTAAAGAATGCCTTATTGCAGGTAAGAAATTGTCTCTGCGTTGCTAAAAATAAACCGCTGGTCGCATTTCTCTCCACTGCGTGGCCTTTTATTTTGGGGGGAGGACTGGGGCAACTATACGAATGAAAAAAGAAACAAATTTTTTTGGAAATTCTGAGCTTAATTCTCAATTATATCAAAGCTTATCATATTTCTACCAAATCTTTATCTCTCTCATATCGTGGATTATATATAAAAAAATATTTTTGCCTCATTGCAAACTCATCGCACATAAGCCCGACCACCCCCTGAATTTTATTACACTAAGCTCTTTATCGATTAAGCACTACTATTGATCCAAAGAGTTTTTATTTACAGAATGGCTGTGTCTACGCGACCGGCTCGATAGATTAAGAAAATCACACGCATAACTTACAGACAAATAAGTCATGCGCAATGTTAAGTATATTTTTCAATAACTGCAATGCGGGTATTGTGTTATCAAATTATGACTAGTTAATCGCAAAATACGTTTGCGAATGACCATATTCTTTGTTGTCAAAACAATAAATAATTGGATAATGATAATAGAAATGGAAATGAATAAAATACGAATGAAGGAATAAGAAATAAAGGCGCCTACCGTCCCACTATTTTTAAATGGCAGAATTAACAGAATTTACTTTTTAACTCGCGAACTGTAGTTAGAAAGAAAAAATATAGTATGCCGTCATTGGGAGAATATACGTACTGGGTATATACTAACCCGAACCCCCTCTTTCTCTCTCTCTTAGTTTGGACCCTTCCTTTGTAAGATTATCAGCATTTGAATTGATATCCATTTTCACCGGTTATTATAAAACTACAACAGTAGTAATGATCTCTTTTTTTTAAACATTTTGACCAAGTTCATCAACTTACAAACCCTTTATCGGCAAAGGATAATTAAAAGACCATATCATCCATTGCATATTTCTATCATTCAATACTACACAGGCTAAATCTGTTCAAAATTTTACGGTACAACAATCTTTTTTTTTTCAGTACCCCAAAAGCGACTGAAGAGTAAATTAATAATTGCCCTGGCTGCTAAATAACTTGGTGTAAAAAAAAAAAAAAAAAGTCGTTTTCCTTATGTGATGAGAATGTCAGCACCCAATGTAGTTATTTTTGCAAAATGTTAAAAAATTGGCACCGAAAATAAAGAAACGTGCCGACACTTACCCTTGGCACTCGTAATGTACTGGCATTTGATTTGAGATGTGCGTTATCAAAACTTTCAGTCAGTGAGTTATTTGTTGCGCTTGCTATGTATCTGGCAAATCTGGTGTGAAAATACCCCAGAAATGCAAAATTCTACAAAAAAATAATCCTCCGATGGAAACATCGCCTGCTGAAGTCCTAGGCTCAAATGGAGGATATGTAAATATTTTCTTTCAATTAGTCTTTTGAGTTTTTGACATCCTCATTTATGATGGCGAGTTAGCTAAACCTGATCATGCAGAGCAAAAACACTGAGGAGGGTGGTTCTATCTTTAATGTAAATACATCCCGAGTTTCACCAAACACATTAACCTCTCCTCTGAATCAATGACATGCTCTGTTGCTGAACTGAAAAAAAAGTTCTAGTTACCCTTCAAACTCTGGGTGTATAAATGTGACCTTCTGAATTGGAAACGTTTCCAGTAACCCCTCAAACTCAGGGTGTATGTATGTGACCTGAAGTGGAAACATTTCAAGTGACCCCTCAAACTCAGGGTGTATAAATGTGACCTTATACTAAGATTAACACATTATTTATCAGCAATATTTATAATAATCCAGCCACACCAAGTTATGATTTATAAGTTTCAAACTTTATTTTTCCTTGAAAATTATGTGTTTAAACAACATGAACAGAAATAATGTAACGTACAACAATATGACCAAATACATAAGGTACTAGTTGTAGCTGTATAGTGTAATACATTGTACTACATTGAATATTATAAATACCACAGGTTACTCTTACCATTCAGTACAAAACCATGCTTGATAGTCTTTCAGTATTTAAAAATGTTAACATACTGTACTCAGGTTAACTGTTAACAATTGTACAACAAGTTGCATAGGCTCCACACATGCAAATGTAGTCTGTTTAAATATAAATATTACGTTACAAATATGTAAAGAAAGGGGGCTCATACAAGAGTGACAGTGTACGTATGTATGTATGTATGTATGTATGTATGTATGTATGTGTGCGGGGGGGGGGGGGGGAGCGCGCCTCTATAATAGTAACCACAATGGGCAGTGTTTGGAAAATCGCAAAAGAACGAAAAGAAACACTTTGTTTACACCTAAATAACTCCAAATCAATTAATAGTATATAGTATCTCCTCTGCCACAAACACAAAAAAAGTACTGTTAATTGCCAGCAACCAACTCACAGCAAGCTATGCATTTTAAAATTCCTTTCATTTCTAAGACATAATAATTTGAATACATAAAACTTCATGGGAATTTCAGCATTTTATACACTCCAGAATAATCCACCATTCTCTTGCGCAATATACATTTCTGTATGGTAAATTCAATTCTATTTATCAAAATGAAAACGGCCATTTAAGTTGAAAAATAAACACTAAAAACGATAGCTTGACAGATTTATAAAATTTCATCTTTGAATTTCCAACAAAAGGCTTTAAGTGGCATATCATGAATCCTTTAAATTTTGACCACCGGTCAAAAAGTGACCAAGGGTCTCACCTGGGCATTTTTTAACTCTGAAATTCATGACAAAGAAAACAGGAAGTCTCTGAAAGAGGCTTTTGCAGTTCCAATTTACCCTGTGGTTGTTGCATTTAGGCGGGGAAAACTGATAGGATGAGACCCTGATGTGTGCCTGAGGAATAGTTTCAAATCAATGTCAGAAATAAATGGGGATCATCCAAAACTGACAAAAAAATTTTTGTGAGAATCTGCATGAACTGGAATTAACTTTTCTAATAAGGGTGAATCACGGTGGATTTTACGATCATTCATGAGACGTTGGGCAATCTAGGGTGTGACTAATCTCCACTTTTCACCTGTGTTCACGTACTACTTGACAGTAAGAGTATCTCACCTATAATATATGCAGTAGAAATTAACATTCAGCTGGACCTGAAGACTATGTCAACCACGAAGCCAACAGAGATCTAACTCAAATGAAAATGTTGTTTTTATAATCGAACATGTTGCTTATGGTGTCAACACTGGTACTACTGCCTTCTGAAAATGGATCCATTCATACATGTATCAATGCCATTAATTGACAGATCTCGCTCTTGGAACAACCAGTGTGTCTATAAATATGCATACAGAGTGATATAAAATGTGTGTGATACATTATGTAGAACACCATCAAAAATTCATAGCAGTGCCTTCGATGATAGCTACCTTGTCCACCTTAAAATTATAATTGTTAGTTTTAGTATTCAACTGTGCATCCATGTATCTCTATTGGGAATAATCATTACAATGAAAATAATCCATAAAATTCACTACAGGTTATCCTCCAGTTAGTATTGTCTTGTACAGTATGGAATATTCTTTTCAACTGAAATCTAACACATTATATAAACTGTAATCCATGTTCTCACATGAACATTTTTTCATCTAATCTGTAATTATGCCTTTATAGAGATGGGAGATGACCATGCTTTCCATGGGTGTCTTGCATGTCCATAAAACATCTCCGTGTTACTTGAATCTCCATTCTTGCACATTTATTTCCTTCTTCCACCACTAAATTCTTGTCACCATCAATAAATGTATTTTGATTTATATATTATTCATATCTATAACTGCTGTCTCTCTGATTGCTCACACTTTCATTATGGAAGAAAAAAAAATCTTGGGTCATACATGTAGTGGGCCGTGATAAAGCTGTTACCCTCCCTGCAACTACGCAGCTATAACACGTAGCTATAGCAACTGTCTCTAATTGCTCACTTCCATGTCATCGTCATCATCATTGTGGTTACTGGCTCCGTTGCTTTCACTGTACTCGGAGCTGTCCGCCATGATGTCCACATTCCCGTCTGAGTCTGGAGACATGCCCAGTGCGGCAGGGATGTCAGCTTTTTGTTTGTCGTTGATGACAGCACTGCGCCGTTGGTAGACCAACACATACCCAGCCTTTGTCTTGAAAAGAACACAATGTGATTCACTGAGCTGTTTCTATCTTTGGTAAAAATTGTTTCTTATATAAAGAGACAAAACATGTTTTTACCTACGCCGCATGACATTTTGACCTACTTGAAGAATATACTTTTTTACCATCTTTACACAAAAGACAATGAAAAATAATTTCACCTTACTTTTTGCTTTTTTCAAGCACGCAGACAAAAAATCATATTAGATCAAAAGTCTTTAAAAATAAATTCTTAGTATGATAATTAATTTAACTGAAACCTATCAATTATAACAATATTTAATCCCCTGTTGAGGTTGTACCATGAAACAACATTCCCTAGCTATCTAACATTTAAAACATTTTAAGTTAGTTTTTACATAAAAACAAAGTTTTCCTTCCAAACACTTAAAGACTTACCACTGCAGCATCTTCAGTGGTCTGGGAGACACTGGAGTCATCAAAGTAATGCCACTCCTCCAGTTCTTTATTCTTGCAATATGCTGTGTCTGAAATCAAACACCATATAGGTTAAAATGTATGACTCATTGTTTACTGTATTGCATTTTACTAATCCAACAGAGCATTTAGCTACAGCACATGGGGATTTACATAGTGAATGTAGCTTTTTCTAAACAGTTAAAAGCAATTGTGTGTGCCTGTATGTGTGAGCATGTACTGGCTTGACCATGAGAGTCGATGTACAACAACAGAAGTCACTGTGTTTATTTTAGTGTTCACTTACAACATCCTTCACAAAGTGGCTAGAGATGGGAATCGGTTCCAACCAAGCATGTGTGTGTGTGTGTTTGTGTGAGCGCGCGCATGCACATGTGTGCATGAATGTGCAAGCACAGTAATGTATATTTTCATGTGTACTTACAATGACCTCCTCCCATGCCTCCGTAATGATTAGATACAGCTATCAGGTCATACAGTAGTGGACCAGCACTCTTGTTAATTACAAAATTCTTCATGTTCAACCCCCTGAAAAGTGAATGAATATTAAAACTGTTAAAACTTTTTAAATTATTTTCATTTTAAATATGGCTGAAAAGATTTTGAACAATTTTACATGTTGTTTTTGAGAAAAAAATTAAATCATGACAGTGACTTCAACAATACAATTCACTCTAAAATATTAGACTGCCTTTTTTATTTCTGTTCACTTATCATCAAGTGGGCACTGTCTTGCAAGACTTCACATATTTTATGCAATGGTTTATATTGATCCGTTTCATTCTCTCTTGGAAACCTGTACCCCCCTAAATGGTGCCAGTCGTGAAAGAAAACACAATCAGGTGTATTCTGTTAAAGATGGGATAGTCCACCCCTCCCCTCCCCTCCCCTGCTTTCCTTGTGCCCACTTACTTGGTGGGGTACTCCACAAAAGTGTCCAACTTGTCCCTCCAGTAGCGGTTATAAGAGAACCTCTTCAGGTGGATAATCAGGTAATCTGGCAGTGACCAGAGGTCAAACTTCTTGGTGGCCTGTTGATGCTTCTTACAGTCTGGACAATACCTGGGTAAATATATGATATCAGTACCTGGGTAAATATGTGATATACATATTATAACAAAAACTCTTCTTCTTATGTAAATATATGATATTTCAGTATTAAAATAAAAACTATCAACTTCAAATCATAAAGTGTAACTGTAAAGCACATCTAGAGAATATGACTAAACGTCTGTAAAAATTATAACAAAAACAGATGATATAATAATTGCTGAAACAGTAGAGCATAACTAGAGGTGATCAATTGTGGTAATGAATTCAAAAATTGTACCACAAATCATGCTCTCCTAATTTTTCATCAGTTGTGAAGAGATCCAAACATTCACTAAGCTGTATGGGCTGCTTCTGTTGTTTGGCTGCCCTTTGGTTCACAGTAGGATGGACATCTATATCCTGAAATAAATAAATAAATAAATAAATAAATAAATAAACCCTTTTACACTCATTGCAATTAATTTTAATAAATGGCATTGTAGCAAACAGAGGGTATGTGGACGACACTGGTGATCAGATATAACAAATAAATAAATTTTGGAAACTGAGGATGTTCCACCAATGTAAACCGACAGCACACTTACCTCAGCAGCTCGTTCATCATAGAACTTTTCTTTTGCCTTTGGATGCCAGTCCACTGCTAGGTAGGACCGATCTACAATGAAAACAATATTTTCACCACCTCACTTTATAATGCATTAAAAAAAATTGAAAAAAAAAAAAAAAAAAACATATGAAGGTAAGAGCCATGTTTAAGTCATGAAATAATTATATTCATATTGATCTTTGCACACACCAACTAGTCTACAGAAAACATTTCTTCACTAGCCTGTCTTGTTAACTGATCAAAATTGCTTCAATTTCCTTTAACTTCATTTTACTTGTTCCAAATCCCTAAGTTAGGAGAAAATAAACTTTGTGGCTAGAGTGTGACCTGGATAATATATATATACTTACTACTAAACTTGATGGGTTTTCCATCATCTTTCAAAGCACCAATTTCACTGCTCCCATACGAGTTGACTAGGTGGAATTCAAACATTCTGTGTTTTTTCTCCTTTGGTTCTTCCTCTAGTGGCTGTCCCTCCCCCTCTGGCTGTTCCTCCTCTTGCTGCCCATCCTCCTCTGTCTCTTTGTTGTCTTGCATACTATCACTGTCTACACTGCTAGTTTCCATGTCTGATCCCTCTGTTAAGCATGATAAATTATCTTATTATTATAATATACTGACTGCTTACATACTGGCATAAAATAAAAATATGGACTAAAATTCTCTAAAATATTATCAATTCCTTATATTATTTTCCATTTATTAATTTATTTTTCATTTTCCATTTATTAATTTACTTTTAGTCATTTTTTTTTATTTTTTAGCCATAAGTGAAATATTCAAAAGCTGACACAACCCATAGTAAATGTAATACATTGTATACGCTGTCTTAAGGTTTTGAGGTGTTGAAATTAGTGATGGTTGCAGCAGCTGTAGAAGACTATACCTCCATTCATTTCTTTCTCTTCAGTCCACCAAATTTCATCTTCTGCTGGCTCCTTTACGTAACGACTAGAAAATGTGAAAAGGGTATTGAAATGTGGATCTCATTTCAAGTTAACCATATTTAGCTAGGTTATAACTAGTCTACAAGACACCCAGTCTGTGGTCAACTGCTTTGAAAGGCCAAATGGGAAAGAAACCCAACATAAATCTGTGAGTATATCAGAACCTTTGTAGATCTTGATTTTTAGTTTTGCTTGGGCTAAATGGAGACATACCATCTTTGACATTTTTCACCTACTGCCAAAGATAATCTAATATAGAGATATTCAATAATCATTACTGTGGAAAATGTTCTCCTGAAACTTAGGCCAGAAAGCACCATGATATCTGTGAGACTGAAATATAAATGCTCCATACCTCATTTTTTGTAGTACAGAAGTGTAGAGGACGTCGTAAGAGCATGTTTTTCTGGGTACAGCTACCAAGAGTGGCTGTCCAAACAGGGCAGCATGGTACCCTTTCCTAACAGGAAAAATAAAGAGAATACATTACAAACTGTAACAGACAGCAAGAAGTTAAGGTATTGGAGCTAAATCTCATATGAAAACGTATCTAGTATCACACAATGCACCAAGTCTTTTTTCAAACTGTTATTGAAGATAAAAACTGTTACTGATTAAACTACAACTGATTAGCTTTAACAAATAGAAGAACCCACCATGGCCAAGCAACAGCTTTTAACTTTCAATCCAATGTAATACGTAACTCTTGGTTATCACTGCTAAATATTCACCATACTTATGTGTCATACCTTTTTTCCCTTAAATATACTGGGATAATCACAGTTTCTGGGTCATCGTGGCTGCTAATTGGCACTTCATAACTGAAGCCAATAAAAAGCACAAAAACAATTAAAACTTTTCAACTTGTCAAACAAGAAGTAGTCAAAACAGTTCAGATTTTCTTTTCAAACAAGGGAGCACCATTTTAACTTTCCACTTAAAATATCACATCATCTTCATAATATTTCGTCATTACAGTAACTTATATAAGAGATACTTACATAAATATATCATCTCTGTCTAATATGTGATTCAAGCCCTCATCATGTGAGAACACTTTGTGGAACCTATGATTGTAGACATCTGTCACCACCATCTAGAGAAGGAAAGAAAGAGGGCATGAACAAAAACAAACTCAAACACTGGGCTCACTGTGAAATTCATTTCTATTTCAACTAAGCATGCACTTAAGACAACTCAGCAAATTCTATGGCTTATATAGGATAACATGCTCTAAACAACAACATATCTTATTTCCACTCTTAATTTATTTTAATTTATTAGAAAAAGCTGTAAGTACGAGCCACTTCAAGGTCTCTACTGATGAAGTCTCAATCTTAATCACAATATCTGAACATTAGAGAGGTAGACTCACCTTTTCTGATGGAATATTTGTATGTTTGGACAAAGCATTGCACAGGTCTGCTACAGAGCCTTGTTTGGGTACTGTCAATTTGTACTGAAAAAAAAAAAAAAAAAGAATTCAAACCACATGGTGCTATCAATGGACAGAAGAGTCAAAAAATTTTTTTTTGATTTTCTATCCACACAGCAAAACAAATTCATGCCACGTATTTTCACTAGGTGAACAAAGATAACATCATACATTTTAGCACAAAATTTGTAATGGAATATATTAAACAGAATAACTCTGTCCCAATACAAGAATAAAATTGGTGAACTACCAAATATTTACACTAAGTACAAACCTATCAGACAGACATCCTACTGAACTTACCTGCACTAACTTCTTTGCAGGATCTTGAGCAACTAAGAACACTTCAATCTGTCTCTCTTTCTTGTACGGCAAGGGTAATGATAGATAGCAAAAGGGGTCAAAAGTTACAGAATGTTTATCGCATTCCGGACATATAAGCCTAGACTTTAGAAGTCCGTGAAAAGTGTCTACTATAACAGAGTCATTGCGTAACTTGTAACTATCCCAAGCTTCCTTGGCGACTTCCTGAAAAGAAATATGGAAAAACATTAATTAAAAACCTTTGTCCATAAATTTTCTTAAATTTCCAAGAACAGAGATTATACCATTAAGACCTTATGTGAACAAACATTAACAGTTGATAAAAAATTTTCATGTGTCTCGTCTAGAGACCTGCCAATATTTTGGACACCCTTGAAAAGTCTGATTTCACCAATCTGATTTCACCAATGACCTTACTCCATTTAACAAACTTGACAAGTCAGTCTGTGAAGGTAAAAAAAAATCAACTCACATGGTCTGGTCTTCCATTTGCATCTTTCACCTCAACGTAAGGCTTCTTCTTCACCCTGTTCAAGTCTTCGTGTAGCCCATCCAGCAGGAATGCCATCAGTTCTTGTGAGTCTTGTTGCTGGTAGCCAGAGAATTGGGGGGCAAACCTGCCTACTGCAATCTGTAGGGAGGATGAAGACAGATTAAGAGAAAAATATTTTCTCAGAAATTTGGTTTCATGGTAATATCAAGCAATAAACTAAAACGTTTGAGTCAAAGTAATATCCACAATTTATCAATGAAAGCCTAAAAAGAGGTAGTCCACAGACTGGTTCGCACAGTGAGAGAGACTTAACAATATGCCACAAACTAATTTTGAGATATTTGCCAACATGAGCTTGGGTTTTTGAAAAAAAAAAAAATTATTATTGCACCAATACCTATCTTCCTGAAGTTTGAGGCCACCTGGAGAACTGAATTAAAAATCACAGAATTTCACAGAAAAAGCTCATGCCTCTATTTGAACAAACATGGCACAAGCAGGCGTAAAAAACTCTCACCTTGAAATCTCTTGGTATCACATAGCTATACTTTCCCGACCATACATCATGTATAAGGGAGGCAAAGGTCTTGGCTATCTCTCCCTTCATACCCAGTGGGTTATCTAGATTGAGCTCATCTTTCCAGCGATCTGCTAGGAAGTACTCCACCAATGGTGGGACATTGTGCATGCACTGAAATAGGGAGGAAGACATAATCATGAGTATAAATAAAAGTTCTATTTCATGTCAGATTTAATCCAGCTTTTCTAGAATGACCTGATTTCTGTCTGAAAAGCAGAAGTTTACAGCTAGAATTGTAAAGTATGGCAAATATTATGACTTTTATGCTGGTATCAAATCTGACTTTAACTAGACTAAATCCAAGTTTAATCTAAAAAAAAACTTTGTCCAGTTCACAGAAACCAACAGCAAAATGATCCTCTAAATCATTTACTTATGACTGCACCCTAAAAACATGATGGTTTTACATCATGCTGAACATGTATGCCCTTACCTGCAAAGCAGAGTTCATAAAACAAGTGTTGCCCAGGTTGCTAAGTCCACAAAGACCTGGGGAAGCACTGCCTCTGTTAGAGTAGTAGGAGCCATAGCCGTGGTTTGAGTAAGAACTACTGCTACCACTGCTGTTGTAGATAGACCTGGGAATTTGAGAGGATGTAATTAATAGCCTGAATTTGTTATGTTACACAATAATCAGATAAGACAATTGCTTGAAACAATTTACAAATATGGAAGAGAATGCATCCAATAGCATAAACATGTCAAATAGACAAAAACCATAAGTACATATTACGATTTCTCCAATTCCTAAAATGCTAAATTTCTTAAGGTAAACAAATACTAAAAAAATACTGGCAGGCCTGCTCTTTGAAATTAACAGTCAAATTATCATTATGAACACCGAGAGAGCATTCAGCATAACTTAGTATTACCTGCTGGTAGAAGAAGTGGCTGTAGACGAGGGGCCAGATTCAATCTGAGTGCTTGTGGTAGCTGTACTAGCAGAGCCAGAATTGTAGGCTGACGTACTCTTGGTCTGCCTGGGCCAGGTACCATCCTCATTCTGCTGCTCCACTACTATCACCTGCACATATAATGACATATTTACCTTGAGATTGTCACAACAGGTAAGAATGCTTACACAAATGGTAAGTGCAATATTCCAAGGGAAAGCATAATAGCAAACTAGACAGTAGGAATAATTCACAAAAAAATTCCACATATTTCACACATTTACAGTGAGCATGATACAAACCCCAAACTTTGACAGTGCCCTGCATTACACACACCTCACACTAATTGTCAGTTCTAGTTCAACTCACCTGTCCAGAGTAAAATATAAAGTCACTCCTAGTTCTACTCACCTGTCCCGAGTAAAGGCCAGCATCCTGTACTGTGTTGTCAGGTTTGTTCAGGTGTTCGTAAGTGTTGGACATGTACTTGTTCCACAGGCGGACCTCTTTGTCATCCGTGATACTAAATATCCGCCTCATTTCTTTTTCAATATCATCTGCAGTAAGAAAATAATGAAGTGTGTGATGACATCTAACTTGATGCATTAACATAGTTAATGCCTTTGTTCTCCCCTCTAATTTAATGTTGCAACTTTAATCCCATTAAAACATCTGAAAAATTCATGTTAAAAGACAAGTTTTTTCCCCAAATGTTTTAATACCAGGAACAGCACCACTCAGTGAAAGTTGCACACTGGCAATTATATTTATATCACATAAGAAGGGTAAACCACATACAATCATCATGGCTACATGCTTCTTCTCAATCCTTCAACAATACTACTTCCTTCTAAGAGTGCCCCACACTTACCAATGGTGTCTGCCCTGCTGAACTGTTTGCTGGTGCAGTGGTCTATGTCTTCATTCTTACACAGCTTCAGATCCATGAGATAAACCTCCACCTTGCAGTGCTTTACAAACATCCCCTGCTCGATCACCTTCCTGGCAATTGGTTTCTTAACAAATGGACAGATGTCTTAGATGCTTACATAAAGGATATACATATACATGGTGGATGAGTTGGACTTATAAATATATATATATATATATATATATATATATATATATATATATATATATATATATATATATATATATAATACTGTATGCTTGTCCCTCTTACATACAAATTATAATAATAAAAGGATTTCTTGACATTTTTCTTTACTCAATAAATAACATTAACACAAGGCTAGAAATTAAATTTTTCACAGCTGTCACAACATCACCAGAGCACACTATTACAGTGATTTTTTTGTTCAAAATTTCAGGTTGTTTTTCAAACAATTTTAATCTGAAGTTTAGGATAGTAGCATTCTGAATCGGCTTCACAATATCAAGTGACAACTGCCACTGATGCTACCACCAATATCAAGCCTAGTTCTATTCCACATGTACAAGACCTTGAAAGCTTTCAACCAAATAATTATTATAATATAAATGCAGGATTATAAAACCAAGCTGAAGGCACATGCTTCTTGTTGTATAGGAGTATTTCACCAGCAGGTTTAACTTTATTGCTTTAAAGAATATAATTTTTTTAAACTAACATTTCTCCCTGTTAAAGTTAACTGAAGCAAGTATGAAGTAGGTGTCTGGGTTGCCCTTACCTGACCTTCCACAGGTGGATACCATGAAGACATCTTCTCCCATCCCTCTTCTGGCACCAGTACATAGTCCAACTCATCCACCAAGTGCTCTTTTAGGGCACCATTCTCTGAAAACATAAATGCCATGAGGATTTACTATCCATCTCTTTACCTTTATCACTTTATAATCATAAGACAAAATATTTGAACTTTGAACATGTCCTTGTAACTCGCCTACAAGAACAATCACTTTAGAATTGATATTTATATCGCAATTTTCAAATGGGCTTCTTGATATGAAGAGAGAGAGAGAGAGAGAGAGAGAGAGAGAAAAAGGAGGAAAGAGAGAAACATCACCTTTAATGAAAAGTTAAGATAAGATGAACGCTATAAGCAACATAATGTGAGGCAGCCACTTTAACACAGATCTAACTAGTACCTGTACTGGCTAAAAACAGCCAGTGCAAAGTCAAAAGCTAGAATATCAAATTGGAAAAAGATAAACATCCCATGTAGTAATGAGAGACAGCATATCTTATGCTCTTTGAAATGTACATCCAGGGGTGTAAATAGCAGTATGCTGCTATTAGTTCCAGTAAAGTGATTAGCTGCCTCCCAGATCAATACTCCATGCTGCTGTAGTACATGCCACAGAAACAATCAAATAATCCATTAGGCTGAGACCAACCATGCGGTTTAGGGTTCTGAATCCATATACAACTACAAGCTTAACAATGGCACTTTTCAAAACCTGTTTTGTAAAATTTATATTTAATTCCTAACAATTACTTATTATGTGTTCAATAATAATCCTTGATATAAGAGGTCTGAATGTGAAAATTCTACTGGAATTTATCTTTTAAAAGCCACCATTATTGCTCAACTTTATTAATATTCAATAAATCTCAATAAATCAATAAAATGCATCCAGACCTGAAAAATTTCTTTATCTTATAATCAAGGGAGTATTTGGATATTATTTTCACTCCTCTAAAATTTCTTTGGATATACCATCATGCTTTTTCAATTATTATTAACTTACTTAAATAAACTATAATGAAATAATAATAAGTTCTCTTACGAGTCTGCAATTCAATGTGAGCTGAGTTTCAACAGTTTCTGATAAATCTTTTCACCTAGTGCTATTTTAACAAGCAACAAAAAAACTGCAAGCTAACTTTTTATGGAAATTAATGTTTAATTTGGATTGCAGACGGTGATAATTTCAATTAAGCTGCAGTTTTCCAGAAGGGGTCAACCTGTTGCTCATTAGACAACTATTTTTATTACTCACATGTTGGCAATGTTGTATCTATACTATGTAGCACACTCATAAGTATCATGAACTCAATTTGACATGTCTCTCTGGGCATCTATCCAGTAAAGCCAGAATGATGTGGCAGAACAACAGTCATTTCAAATCAGCTCTTGATTCAATTCTGCTCAAGGTTGTGCTACATTCCGCTCTTTAGTATCACATCAAAAATACCCTTNAGATAAGAATGAAATTGGTGAACTACCAAATATTTACACTAAGTACAAACCAATCAGACAGACAACCTACTGAACCTACCTGCACTAACTTCTTTGCAGGATCTTGAGCAACTAAGAACACTTCAATCTGTCTCTCTTTCTTGTACGGCAAGGGTAATGATAGATAGCAAAAGGGATCAAAAGTTACAGAATGTTTATCACATTCCGGACATATAAGCCTGGACTTTAGAAGTCCGTGAAAAGTGTCTACTATAACAGAGTCATTGCGTAACTTGTAACTATCCCATGCTTCCTTGGCAACTTCCTGAAAAAAAAAAATATGGAAAAACATTAATTATAAACCTTTGTCCATAATCTTCTTAACTTTCCAAGAACAATGTTTATGCCATGCTGTTTGAAAAAATTCAAAAGCTAATGTGAACAATCATAAACAGCTAATAAATATGTATCTGGTCTAGAGACCTGCCAAAATCTTGGACAGGCCTGAAAATTCTCAAGTATTCACTTAAACCATTGAACAAAAGTGACAAGTCAGTCTGACAAAAAAAAAAAAAAAAAAAAAAAAAAAAAAAAAAAAACCCTCACGTGGTCTGGTCGTCCATTCGCATCTTTCACCTCAACGTAAGGCTTCTTCTTTACCCTGTTCAAGTCTTCATGTAGCCCATCCAGCAGGAATGCCATTAGTTCTTGTGAGTCTTGTTGCTGGTAGCCAGAGAATTGGGGGGCAAACCTGCCTACAGCAATCTGTAGGGAGGATAAAGACACAGATTAAGAGAAAAAATATTTTCAGAAATTTGGTTTTATGGTAATATTATGCAATAAATATAAAAGTTTGAGGCAAATTAATATCCAACATTTATTAATGAAAGTCTGAAGAGGCAGCCCTGAGAGAGAGAGAGAGAGAGAGAGAGAGAGAGAGAGAGAGAGAGAGAGAGAGAGAGAGAGAGAGAGAAATTATAAAAAGATATAAGAAAAA